TCTGCTCGAGGAGGAGGAGGAGGAGGAGGAGGAGGAGGAGGAGGAGGAGGAGGAGGAGGAGGAGCTGCTGCTGCTGCTGCTGCTGCTGCTGCCGGGAGCTGAGCTCTCCTCCTCCCTCCGGAGATCTGGGTCTGTCCACAGTGGACCGGTCTCTGTTGGAGGATCTGGGTCTGTCCACGGTGGACCGGTCTCTGCTGGAGGATCTGGGTCTGTCCGCGGTGGACCGGTCTCTGCTGGAGTCTGAGCTGAAGGAGGTTCTGGTGAACCTGCATGAGTTCATCTGGTTTCACCAGAATCCGACCCGGTGGCTCCGATGACGAGCTTTAAGAATAAGTCTATAGAAACAGACCACCTTCTCTCTGATGGTCTCTTTACTGATGGAGGTCTGATAGAGGATCAGGACTACACCGAGACTGGTTCAAGACCATGATAAAAGTTTCTAACTTACAAAGGTGTTTGTGTCCGAGCGAATAGTTAAAGTCCAGCTGTCCCTCCCCTTTGAGCTCTAGTTCGGTCTCTACTCTGCAGGTAAATACCTGCCAGCGGCTAAAAGTAGCTGCTTTATTTACCAGCTAGTCTCTAACTGTGTCTGCAGTTTGCTGCTGAACCGACAGTAAATGTGCAATGAAACTAGGAGCTAAAAGAGAATTTACAAGCATTAGTTATAGATGTATGTTTCAATGACAACAAAAGGTAACACTTCATTTTACAGCTATGTGCAATTTCATCCCCTAATCGGAGCTTTCGTGGAAATTGGTGCTAATAATAATAATAACAATAATACATTTTATTTATATAGCGCTATAACTCAAAGACACTTCACATTAAAATCATCATATATAAAAGCAATACACTAAAAACATAAAATTCACAATAGTGGTCACACATTAAAAGCAGTTTTGAACAGGTGGGTTTTGATTTGAGATTTGAATGTGCAAAGCTCAGTGCAGTCTCGGATGTGTTTGGGGAGAGTTCCAGAGGGAGGGGGCAGATATGGAGAAGGCTCTGTCACCCCATGTCCGGTGCTTGGTGAATAATAGAACTTCCAATTATATCATTCAAATAACTGCTTGTGCAGCGTAGAGCCTTTCACTCAGAGCACAGCAGGTCAGCTGAGCATGCAAATATGTGAAATATGTCCAAAGGCAAGAAAACAATTCAACATATATGAAGTTTACAATCATAAATTATTGAACAGTAGATGTTCTCTCTTAATTGGAGCCAAACTATGTAATTCTTTCCAAGAAACTTTCATGGAAATTATTCTGAAATTACAGTTAACTAGTTAAATAAAGCATAACCTTACAGAGGTAAAATATTATAAAGTTAAGTTGATTATTTAAGGATAGACACTACAGGGAAAAAGATTTTGGGCTATTTTGCTTCCATAACATGTCTTCCTTCAGACTAGTGGGAACAAATGATTCACAATACATTTAGGTGTTTAATGTACTATTTTGTCTCTTTGTGTCTGTTGATTTCCTCTAAACTCACCATTAGATAATGCTTCAATAGCACATTTAAAACATAGCATTTCAGAAAACTTAAAACACAGCAAGGAAACATGAAAGCAAAATAAAACAAACACCACAGATGACGTTAAAGCATGGAGCATGTATTGCAGACCTGCAGGTGTTCATGTTATTGTGTCCGCCCCTTTTGAATGTCAAACAAATTCACTCCAACAGAAAACAAGTCCTTATTCTGACACAAACATCTTAAAGTGAAGAACCTGCAGATGAACTCAGAAGACTCACCTGTGAGGCGTGTTAGCGGCTCACGCTCTCCACCGGCGGCACAGAGAGATTGTATTCTGAGGTGTGACCTCCTTTCAGATTGCTGGAGAACCAGCGGACTGGTGATGATGATGATGATGATGAAGAAGCGGAGTGAGGGGCGTGAGCGGGTCGACACCTGGCCCGCTGCTCTTAAATAGAGCCGGGCTACGTGGGCTATTGTGTCGAGCTAAGCCGGGGGTCTTTGGTCGCGTTTGGCGGGAGTCCCACATTGTAGATCCCACGAGCCCCCCGGGGGCTCAGACTGCAGCCGCACACAGCCAACAACTTCCCCAGCTATCTTGTTTTTGTATTTTTGTTTTTTTCCTCTGGAACGCAAAATCAAATCGGGTCTATTTTTTCCTCTGCGCCGTCTCTTCAGCTTAAACTTTATGGAGGGAACTTGTTGTGTAATTGTTTCCTGGTGTGACTGAATTTGAATGCTCTGGTTTGGTATTTCTCGCTGTTTGTGACTCTGGTTTTATTGGCTTTTCATGACTTTCATCAGCTTGATTTAAGTTGCTTTCTCTGCTTTCCACTAATCGTTTTACGTTTGCTTTACTGTCCTCTCCTCTACTTTTTTGTTTGGATGTTTTTAAGCTTTACTTATTGAGGAAAACCTCGCTGAAATGACAAATCGCCCTCATTCAATATTAATATTAAACTATATATATATACGACTATATCAACTTCTAACAGTAAACCAATGAAAAGAAAATAACAGAAAAAATCTGTGCACATAAAAAGCAGCTAAAAATAACAGGAACTAACTGTTAAATAAATGTAGTGGAGTGAAACATAGTCTTTGCAACAGTGGAAGATTTACTCATATTTTAATGAGCAAAAGTGTAAAAATACTCTGTTTCAAGTAAAATTCCTGCATTCAAAATCACAAAAGTAAAAGCACTAGACTGACCCATTAGTTACTGGATTATAATTATTAATGCATAAATGTTATCACTTTGACATTATCATCACATTATATATTGCTAATTTAGCCTCCAATGATATGTCATCATTTATTTGATTTGTATTGTTTTGTATAGAAATTTGCAATCTCGAAAGTATAAAGTACCATCAAATGGAAAATACTCAAGTAAAGTATCTTAAAACTATAGAGTAGAGTACTAGAGTACATGTACACTGTGATTAAAAACTTAAATTCATTTGCTGCGTTTAAGTTTCAAGTAAAGTCAAATTGGATTTAATTTCAATCGTTTCAACTCATTATTTTGAGTTGACCTTAGCTTTGGTTGACATGACTGTATAACACTTGTTGCATCCACTAAGCAATACTAGTTGAAATGATACTTCTTATTATCATGCATTCTGTTCACTCGTTTAATTAAAAAGAAGTCTTGACATTACTTTCCTTGTTAAAATAATCTAAACGTTTGTGTTGTTTCAGTGACCAGTTGGTGCCAAGTAATTATAGTGACTTTCCACCCGCTGGTCCTTCTGCATCACATACTATATCACATTATGTCATATTGTATCATGCTGTCCTGCGTCTCATCATGTTGTTTTGGACGTTATTGTTGCAGCACATTCCTTCAGCATGATCCCGGATCACAATACTGACTGGATCTATTAGCTGGTCAGGTCTCATGCGGTAAACAGTGTGATGAGTGCTAACAGGACATCCAGACCCCGTTATGTGTGACAGGTTTACACCAGCGGCCGGTCCTCGGCGCTCGGCCCCTGCAGGCTCTGATCCCCGGGGAGCCAGCTGATGTCCAGCTGCAGATCAGTGGAGCTTTACAGGGGCCAGCGCGTCGCCTCCTCTGGCTCACGGACTGAAATAGCAGCGGTGCAGCTCAACATACAGCTCCCATACTGTCACTGTGTAGAGGGGGGGGGGGCTGTAAAACCACTACAATAAGACTCTGGTTCTCATCCAAACTGTGACACAACTGGCTTGTAAAGATTTCATCTCACCAAACTTCAACAGTTGTATTTAACTACTTTTTATACGACTGGTGATGGTATTTCTTTGGTGATGAGTTAATAAAAACACAACTTGGCTGCAGTGACATTTCAGGTCTTTTACTTTGACGGGGCCAAGCAATGAATGCTTCCTCTGCTGAGTCAGCGTATAGTTTGGAGTCACTTATCTTCACTTTCCAGCTCAGGAAGGTTGAAAAATGGTGAAAGGAAAGTTTGTTTTTTAATTCAGATTTAAATGCCAGACTTGTTTGTTGTGAAACGTTAATATGATCCCACGCACTGCATGTGGCACTATTATCTGTCAAGCAATACTGCATGCAATGCTAAAGCACATATTTAAAAATAAAGATTTAAAAGGTTCAGCTGGTTCAGTTGATGATTTATTTTGTGGAAATCGTGTTTTTATTTTAGAAACAAGTCTTAGTTTTCCTTCAAGGATGAAAGCTGACTTGTCATCCGCTGTCATCCCTTGTTATTGTCTCCGCTCCCAGGACTTATTCCTAATAATAATTATAATAATAACTTTATTTATATAGCACTTTTAAAAACAAAGTTTACAAAGTTGTCAGTCTTTTGACAGGTAAAAGTTAAACCATAATAAAACAGTACAATGCATGAAACAATAAAACCCATTGATACGATATCAAATAAAATAATAAATAAAATAATTTAATAAAATAAAATAATAATATCAATAATAAAATAAAGCAGTTAAGTGATTCCTAAAGCCTAAAACATTTAAGTATGTTGATCCCTCATTCTTGGAATCGGTTGCACAGTGTCCTGAATCTTCTGGAGCTGTTTCTCTTCATGCATTTAAAGGGATTTTAAATGACCTGGAGACAGGAACATCTGGAACATGTGTGATGGATCATGCGATGGATCGTGTGTTGACTTGTGAAGAATGTCAATAAAAGTCGTTTATAGTTTATGATTCTGTAAACTGTAAATGTGTTTTGTTTTTATGTCTTGGCCAGGACACTCTTGAAGACTCTCTCCTTGTTAATAAAGGTAAAAAGAAAAACAATAATTGACATGTTAAAAGTTCCTAAAGTTCAACTTAAATGTGTTTTTTATTTATTAATTAAAAACTTAAAATAAACTAAATTAATCACATTAAGAATACGTCCTCCCATCTACCTTCTTATTATAAAAAAAAACGTCTTTGAAACAAAAATACAAAACTTAAATAAATGAATAATATAGAGAGGAGAGTGGTTCCTTTATGGTTGCTATACCAACGTGTAAACAAATTCTGGCGTTGCCTGGGAACCAAGCTAACGTTAAGAAGGACAGCGTTAGCTTCCGCTGTGCTAACTACAACAAAGATGACAATAAAAGCAGATTAAAGGATTAAAGAACAAGTTTAAACGAGTGACGGTGAACCGGTTCTCAGCGCGTCACCTGCTGGTTCTCACGGACTCCGCGTTCCGGAGGATTTACTGCTCGTTGTGTTGACTTCAGCTGACTTTGAACGGAGAGAGCTAACAAGCTAACAAGCTAACCTAGCGTTAGCCGGTAGCGATGTCGGAGCAAAGAGAAAACGTAGAAGAGGAGGAGGAGGAGGAGGAGGATGAGACAAACCTACAACCAGGCGGAGACACTGCTGAGCAGCCGCCAGAGGGCGACAGAGAGCCGGGGAGAGATGGAGACGAGGAGCAGGCTGACAGGTCGACCACAGGTGAGTCCGCTTTGACCACAGGTGAGTCCGCTTTGACCACAGGTGAGTCCGCTTTGACTACAGGTGAGTCCGCTTTGACCACAGGTGAGCAGTGGCGGCTGGTGGAACATGTTCTAGGTAGGACTGTGCCACATCCAATCAATTTCAGCAAACATCCCAGTATGATTTAATGCAAAAAAGGTAAAAATTAAGGTATCAAACTAAATTATTTAACCTTTATTCCAATATGAAAAAAAGCAAATTTACCACAGATATCATATTTTACACATATTACTGGGTGATTCCATATTCACGCCCTAGTGCCCTCCATTGACCAGCTGCCACTGCAGGTGAGGGTACTTTGTCTGCTATCTTAAGTCTGGTGTTTGTTGACAAGAGTCGTATGTATTAATATTCAGATGTGCCGTATATCTTTCTGGACTGTGCAGATGTTCTGGAGACCGCAGAAGAAGCTGAAACTCAGGCTGATCTGCCCGACGACACCGAGCAGCTCGGAGAGCCTCAGAGGAGAGACCATGTTGGAGACTCCACGGCTACAGGTGAGACCCTGATCACAGGATACATTCTGTTGTTTTCTTCATCATCAGATTGTCTCACTAAGACTGATCTGTTGACAGTGTGACACATTTCCCAAATCCCTTCGACACTACATTAAACGTATGTGAATGCAGATCACATTCATGTGTTCTGGTGTGTGTGGATGAAGTACTGAAGCTGTGCTGTTTCTAGGTAACCTGACACGGGAACTATACAACATGAGGACCAGAGTCTTGTGTCCAAGACAGCAGCTACAAAGACATGTCATTAATTCAACACATTCTAATGCAGTGGATGCACACTATGAATATGCATAGTGTGGAAAGAGTTGATGCTTTTTTAATGTTCAATGAAAAAGTGAACTTTAGTTGAATCAGAAAAGAAACAGTTGTGATCAAATCTAAAGTAAAAGAATGGACATATTTGAGGTAAACTCCCCGTCTGTCTGTGTGTGTGGTTGCAGTGAAGGTGGTGCTGGTTCCGGGCGGTCATGTGATGACGGTGGCCTTCGCCATCGGTCTCAGCGTCCAGGAGCTGAAGCTTCACCTCGCCGCGGAGCTCAGGGTCCCTGCAGAGGTGCTGCAGATCTCTCTGGACGGTACGATATTCCATTTATTTAACCACCGTGTAAAAATACTCTCTTCCAAGTAAAAGTTCTGCTTCCAAAGTGCTCAGAAACAAAACCACTCTTCTGTCCACAGGGACCGCCACAATACACAGGAAAGGACAGCTCCTTGTAGTAGCTCGAAGCAAAAGTACAAAAGTATTCCCACATAAAATATTCTTAAAGTAAAAGCATTTTTCATGCAGAATGGCTCATATTAGAATTATATAATTTATAACGATGATTTAATGTGGCAGCTGGTAAAGGTGGAGCTCATTTTAATTACTTTATATATTTTCTATTAATAATCTGCAAAGTAAATAAATTTGTCAAAAAAGTGAAGTAAAAAGTACAATATTTGCCAAGATGTAGTGAAGTAAAAGTATAAAGTCTACATGAAATGGAAATACTCCAGTAAAGTACTTCATTGTACTTGAGTACCTGTACTCATGTCCTGTTGTGTTTCAGGCAGGGTGGTGGAGCAGCAGCGGAGTCTGATGGAGCTCGGCGTGCGGCCTCAAGGCTCCACCCGAATGGAGATGAGCTCCAGCGACCCGACCGCCTACCCGCTCCGCCCGCTGCGCCCCCCGGACCACGACAACATGCCGGACGTCATCACCGTCCGAGTGCAGACGGGTGAGAAAAATACATCGATTAAACTCGTGTGATGAATTATTTACCATCACTCCACAAGCGTGACAGTAAAAGCACTATATTTACTGAGAGCTGCCGCTCTCTGAGCTCCAGATGAGGGCGTGTTCCAGGAGGTGGTGGTGGAGATTGAGCGCCCCCCCCAGCAGAAGGCCTTCCTGGGCGGCTACAGACACCGGCTGACAGGGGCGGAGTACCACCACGCCGCCATCCAGACCTTAACCAAGAGGAGACCCCACAGAGGAGGGGCGGTCTTCAGCCGCGACACACAGGTACGAGTCAGTTTCCAGGACGTGATACATTTGTTTATTGGACATAATTAAGTACAGATTAAAATGAATAAATAATAGAAAATTATGATTAGAAAGCTCATTAAAACGCGTGTGTGTGTGTGTGTGTGTGTGTGTGTGTGTGTGTGTGTGTGTGTGTGTGGTGCATTTAAAGGTCACTCATTACTGCAGAACAGCGTTGTCGTTCAGGCGTGAGACAGAGCGTGACTTCATGTGCAAATTAAACAATGTAATCACAAAGAGCGAAGAAGAGGAGTGTGAATGAGGCGCCTTGAACCAGGCGAGCCGTCACGGTCACACCTCTGGTGACTGTGTTCTGCATTCATTTATCCACATCGAGGAAAGACACCAACAGAATTAAATAAACCCCGTTAACTTCGAACCCACATATGTTTCATATCGCTCTTCAGATTGATTTCACTACCTCCATGCATTCTTATTCCTATGAAGAATCCCCGTGCAGAGACGTGAGACTGCCAGAGAGACGTTTCATCACAGTCCGTGTTCACACACATTCATCTCCAACATTTTCTGAGTTTAAATGAACGTGTGGAACTGTGGTTGCTGCCTCAGTCAGACATTTTCTCAGAAACAAAGCCTCGACCGCGTGACAAAACAAACGAGTACAAACGAGCGCTCTCAAGAAATAATGTCTTTTCTTCTGCATTAAAAACAAACAAACAGCTGGAGCTGATGTTGCTTTTCAAAGTACATTGCTGTCTTTATTCCTCGACACTCGAGTCTACTGGATTGGGAAGCATGTGTTTTCTTTCACACGTTCTTACTAAACACTCACCAGCGATTTACTAAATCAGTTTGCATCATTAAAACTGATAACAATGTGGAGAAACCTTGACAGATAAAGCCAGATTTTAAACTCCAAACTAATTTGATAATCGGGAGGAAATATTCGTCGTGTGACCTGTTTGAGATGGGGTGAGATTGATTTCCCTTAACAATCACCGATGTGGCTCTCTGACAGTCAGATTGATTTGTGTCAGAAACTTTGATTAGCTGATTTGCAGTTTGAGCACTTCCACCGTCTGGTTCCTCACACGGCTGCTGGGAAAGGATTCAGTAGAGACTGTGGTGATCTGGTTTTTATGACGGCGTATTGGGGCCAGAGACTGTCTGAACATTGTGAAGAACACGTATATTTCTAAATGGACCATAATGTATTAAATGAACATCATGCTGTATTGAAGAAGACTTGAAACTAGAGATTCAGACCATAAACTCATGTTTACAATGTTTACTGAGGTAATAAATCAAGAGAGAAGTAGAGTCATTTTCTCATAGACTTCTATACAACCAGAGGAGTCGCCCCCTGGTGGACACTGGAGAGAATGCAGGTTGAACGTTGATCAGTTTTTCGCTACTTCCCCGTCAAAAGTCTGTCCATCCTGTATTTCACTTTTTTTAGTTTTCTGTTTGAATAAATCTCCTCATTCTGAATCCTAATAGTCGCGCTAGCAAAAAATAAATGTGCAGACCTTCATCACGGCAGACATTTTGAAAAGCAGAAGTCGAGAGAGAGCTATGTCATTAATGAAAGGTCAAACTCTAACTTCTTCTTTCTGACTGGATGTTTCTCACAGCGATGCTCTCTGGGATCCAAAGCCTCGAGGAGACGAGACAGACGGGTTGTTATGGACGACTTGCCAGCTGACACACTCCACGGGGGATTCAATGTCACTCTTTTGGTTGCTAGTCATGTCTATGGTGTTGGATCTGAAATGTATCATATCGTGACATATGATAAACCTACCAGCTAAATGCATGTCAAATATGCGTACTGTCCTTTTGGACTCTCTGAGATGATTCCAGACTTTTGAAAGGTCAGCAGTAATTACAGGTTCGGCCGAGACTTTCGCTCGAGCGTCATCAATCTGTGTCACAAGCCGGAGAAATGTAAAATGTTACTCACCGGCTCATATGGCCTCCGGTGAACCTCAATTAACAGCCTGAAGCCCGACACCTCAGCCGTGGCCTCGCCTGCTTCCGTTACGCAGGGTATGAAAGGGTATGAATTGATTGGTGTTGAGATTTTTTGTGCTGTCTCCATCTTGTTGTGTGGCGAGGATTGGACTGACATCAGGGACCACGACGGGAATAAGACCTGGACTCTGTCGTGCTGTCCAAGACAATCTCACAAAACGCATTTGATTTTCAATATTTCTCTTTTTTTAAACTTTGCATGTATTCTGTGTCTCTGTGTCTCCGTCTCTGTCAGACGGTAGACCTGAGGTCTCAGGTCCAGCAGTGTCCGGTGGACGTCGCCACCCAGATGACCGCGACCGGCTGCTACGTCTCCTCTATGAACGACAAGCTGGTCGCTGCACGCGGCGGCTACATCACCGCCGACGAGCATCACGACACGAGGCTGAGAGCTGTGGGTGAACACTGAGTTTGTGTGTGATTATAATGCATGATGTCTTTTTATTAATATATATATACATATATATACATATATATACACATATACATATATATGTATATGTATCAGCATTATTGCACCTCCGGTTCCTTTGTTTTAGCTTCACTTGCCTGCTCTCCTCCTCTCTTGTCACCCACCCAGGTGATCCGTCTGCAGTCGTTCACTCGTCGCTGGCTGGCCCGGCAGGCGGTGGACCGGCTGCGGAGGGACCGGGCCCGGCGGCTGGCCTGGCAGGAGCTGCAGGAGAGGAGGAGGAGGGAGGAGAAGGAGGAGCAGCTGAGAAACCAACGCCACCGCTGGTTGAACCCGCAGAGGAGGGAGGACTTCAACCTGCTGTACCGCGCTCTAGAGAGTAGGCCGTGTGTGTGTGTGTGTGTGTGTGTGTGTGTGTGTGTGTGTGTGTGTGTCGTAAAACCAGCGTTCTCTAACTGTGAGTGTGTTTTTCAGCGTGGAGGCTCGAGGAGGAGCAGCGGATCAACTCGTCCCTGCGAGGAGCTGAGAGGAAGGTCGCTCTCTGCGCGCTGCTGGAGAAGGAGACGCAGCTCATCGCCGACATCGGACGCCATCGCATCGCCGCCCACAACGACAACTACGAGCAAACCGTCGGGAACTTCCTGGACAAGGTCAGAGGTCACTGCTCGACCTCCGCTCTCCCGGCTCTCTCAACCCGACTACCAAAAACTGTTTTGATGTTCGATTAGATATGCGCTTTTAAATAACATCTGTGTTGGATTGTGGGTAAATATTTTCAGTAGAGTTACAATTAAAACATCAAATGTCAGAGATTAGTAGTGTTAAATAGTGAGGGTAGTAGTACTGGGGCAGTAGTTGTATGAGGAGTAGTAGTAGTAATAGAAGTAGTAGTTGTAGTATGGAGGAGGAGAAGTAGGGAGGGTATCAGTAATGGATGTTGTGGTAGTAGTAGTAACGGGAGTAGTAGTCATAGGATTGTTGATAATAACACTTGCATTAGTAACAGTTGTCTCGTCAGGTGTAGCAGTAGTAGTAGACAGCAGTATTTTTAGCAGTACCAGTGTCAGCAGTAGTACTAACAGTGTGGTGCTGTGTTTCAGTCTGCGGCTCCTCATCGGTGGCGAGCGGCAGACGGTCGGCCGCTCGAGATGGACACTCAACACACCATCAGAGCCAGAGAGCTGAGAGAGCTGTACAACAACATCAGCCGGTCCTCTGTGAGCCAGGAGCAGAGACTCCACGTCATCCTGACACTCAAACACACCGTCAAGGTAACACACACACACACACACACACACACTCACCGTCAAGGTACCACACGCACACACACCGTCAAGGTACCACACGCACACACACACTCACCGTCAAGGTACCACACGCACACACACACTCACCGTCAAGGTACCACACGCACACACACACACACCGTCAAGGTACCACACGCACACACACACCGTCAAGGTACCACACGCACACACACACACACACCGTCAAGGTACCACACGCACACACACACACACACCGTCAAGGTACCACACGCACACACACACACACACACACCGTCAAGGTAACACACGCACACACACACACACACACACCGTCAAGGTACCACACGCACACACACACACACACACACACCGTCAAGGTACCACACGCACACACACACACACACAGCGTCAAGGTAACACACACACACACCGTCAAGGTAACACACACACACACCGTCAAGGTAACACACACACACACACCGTCAAGGTAACACACACACACACACCGTCAAGGTAACACACGCACACACACCGTCAAGGTACCACACACACACACACACACACACTCAAACACACCGTCAAGGTACCACACACACACACACACACACCGTCAAGGTACCACACACAATACGTCACAATACTACAATGTCTGTAGCATATCTGTTATTGTTGGTATCATGGTTGTTTTTATTTTAGGAGCATGAGTGTCAGCTGACCCGGGACGTCGTGGATTTGATTGACAGGGAGATGGACCTGATGACTCGGGGGGTTAAGGCAGTCAGTCTGGAGGGGCTGAGGAAGAGGATCTCCACTCTGTTCCTCCAGTACATCAAAACACCAGCGTTCAACCCTGAGGTGGCCAAGCTGCTGAAGGTGAGCCGAGAGCCCCACTAAGACCATTAACGTTGGACACCATTTTGACGATAAAATGATTTTAGATATTTCCATATACTCTTAAAATCCTTCCTCAGGTTCCCCAGAATCCCTCTCAGCTGAAGAACATCATGTTCCTCTGCCGCGGCTGTCATCGCTACCTGCTCTCCTCCGACTTCAGGCCGTCCGCCAGCGACTGTCTGAACGGTCGGTGCTGCAGCTGCACCGAACTCGACAACATAGCGAGATCCCGGGAGGACTTCTCCCGCTACAAGGACATCCTGAGGAGGCTGAGAGCCGACGAGCAGCGGCTCAACGGGGAGGCCAAGATTCCCTTCCTGTTGCAGGTGACCCGCTTTCACTTCACGTGTTTGTCAGTTTGATTGATCCTGCTCGCCTGCCGGGATTCTTTCTGTTTCCTGCACGTTTTTTTGCTGTGATGATTTCAAAGTGCAGGTTACCGAAACCCAGAGTGTGTCCTCTCAGGTGGACGACTTGCGGTACCTGGTTGAGGTGGTCTGGGCGTCCCACTCGGCCCTCCACGCCAGCAGCGACCTCTACAACCTGGTGTTTGTCCGCTGGGAGCGCCGGACGGACTGGAGCCCCTGGAACTGCATCCTGCTGTCCAAAGAAGAGACTTCAGCTCACCTGGAGGTGGAAGACGTCCACAAGGTCTGTCCGTAGAAACACACACACCTACACACTCACACTCAGTGCAGTTAAACTCAGCAGTTTATAGTTCAACTACTGCCGACATGCGTAGGAGGCAAGTTATTGTGGATGTAGATGTATTTCTTCATGAACGTAGCTTTGTGCACAGGGCCCTTCACCAAACCAAAAGTAGAGGTTTCTGGTTCCTCTTCAAAAGGAAAGATCATAAATGTAACCTCTCGAAGATGCCAAGTGACCTCTCCACGTCAGCCCTTTGTCTCGTCTTCAGCCTGTTTGTCTGGTCAAACATCTGCAAAGTTCAGGCTCCAGTTGTTACATGAACCTCTCCCTCCTCTCTGTGTTCAGGCGTACGAGGCCACGTTCATCCTCTGGATCGAACACAAACACAGGCTGGCTCGGCGCCACTTCAGCCAGATCCCCGTCATGGCAGAGCACCTGGACCCTCGGCCGTCGACGGGCAAGCGCACCATCGACAGCCTGCCGGCCTCAGCTCGTTGAGAAGCACCCCGAGGTTTCCCTCTCTCCCGTCACCCGTTTACTCCCTCGCTCGTATTGTCTGTCAGTTTCAAAAAGGTCTTTTGTTGTCCAAAATCTAAAATAAAGTTCATGATGGTTTTATTCCTGGTTCTAACCCTGACTCATCAAATTAATTTCTGTTCAGGTGCTTTTATTTTGAAAGTGGGATGTAGTGTCCCGCTTCCAGACAGAATTATACAGCTGAGTAAATCCTAAAAAAAACACTTTACGAACCTTTTTCGTCGACTTAAACAGAACATGAAAATAATTATTCATTGTTGTCGCTCATTGATCTTTCATTCCGATCTTTCTGTAGTTTTATTGTTTTGAATTAGTTGAGTTCTGCTATAAGTGCAGCTCTAGGAAACTTCTGTTGAACTTCAATGTGTTCTTCTGATCCTCTCTGGACATTGAAGCGCAGAGCCACCTGGGCATTACTCTTGTTGTACTTTTTACCAATAGATACAATCAGCTCGTCCTGCAGCAGGGGAGGACATTTCACATTCACCCTAAACCAGAGACAGAAGAAAATACAAATGATGCCAGAATAGAGACTTTTTAGTGAGTTTATAAGTTTAGCATCCCTAAGTGTTGAGGGTTTGGTAGCAATAAGAATGTTGTTTTATCAAATAGAAGGCTGACATGTTGCATATGTATTTTATATATAATTTTGTCTATTGTGAAACGATAAGGATCTAGATTAGATTCGTTCCATGACAAAAGTAATTCCAAATTGAGTCTATTCCCTTCGCTGTTCAGTTTAGTTATTGCACATCAGTTTCCCTGCTTGCTCGTGACAAAGATTTTAGATTTGAATGTCACACGTGATGTCTGAAAAATGCTTGAGTTATTTTCACCCGTCCATGACCACAATACCAGGGGGAGCAACACGTTCCAAAATACCGGCTGTCAGTGAAAAGTGCGTATCCCTTAAAACCTTCATACCAGCCAATTGGGCAGTAGCCAACAATCACAATGTCATTGTGACGACAGTACTCCAGAAGCTTGGTGTTGTGTGAAATATGGATGGCAATCAACCTGAAGGTAAGCAAGAAGAAAATGAATAATTTTAAAAAGAATACTGGCCCAAAGTGGTCCGACTTTACATCAGCACCCTGTGCTATACTAAATCGAATTGGATTGGAATGGAGAGGAAAGATCCACTCCTTTAATACCATTAAAGCTAAACAAAAGATGAAAAAAGAGTTTCATCAAAGTCTGTTGAATATCAGACATATATAAGCAAACACTGATACTGCACCATCTACGGAAACGTGTTCCTATGTCGCATCTATCCAAGAAAACTCAAAGAGACATGTTGGGGTCACCTGGTTGGACACAGGTTTGTGTTTGAGGCCGGGTTTGCTCAGCAGCAGCTCCAGCTGTCTGCGGTTGAAGTTGGAGACTCCCAGAGATTTAACCAGCCCTGTGTCTTTGCAAGCCTCCAAAGCCTGTTGAGAGGAAGAGATTTACATCCTCTTAAAGACTGATAGTGAGGTCTTTACAGACTCTGAGAGACTGGAGGAAGAAATACAGGGTGAAGAGGAAAAAACAGATCTCTCAATAGAGCTTGGCTGTTTGTGACACTGTCCTTGGTAGTTTCTGGTGCTGCAGCAGACAATGCTCTGGGATCAACTTTCAAGTATAAAAGGAATATCATATGTGGTTTCTCCTGATTTATTATTTTTCTGTTAGCGCATGAGACATTCTCTAGAATGCACAGAGAAAATAGCATATCCTTTAAGTTGTAAAAGATGCTACCTATTCTATGTTGCACACCTGAAGTAAATAACATCACACTTCTAGGTAAAGCTGATACAATTCAATACAAGATGTGTGGTTGATTTACTGCTATGGAGGCTATAATATACAGTGGGGCAAAAAAGTATTTAGTCAGCCACCAATTGTGCAAGTTCTCCCACTTAAAAAGATGAGAGGCCTGTAATTTTCATCATAGGTATACCTCAACTATGAGAGACGGAATGAGAAAAAAAAAAAATCCAGAAAAATCACATTGTCTGATTTGATTTTTAAAGAATTTATTTGCAAATTATGGTGGAAAATAAGTATTTGGTCAATAACAAAAGTTCATCGCAATACTTTGTTATATACCCTTTGTTGGCAATGACAGAGGTCAAACGTTTTCTGTAAGTCTTCACAAGCTTTTCACACACTGTTGCTGGTATTTTGGCCCATTCCTCCATGCAGATCTCCTCTAGAGCAGTGATGTTTTGGGGCTGTCGCTGGGCAACACGGACTTTCAACTCCCTCCACAGATTTTCTATGGGGTTGAGATCTGGAGACTGGCTAGGCCACTCCAGGACCTTGAAATGCTTCTTACGAAGCCACTCCTTCGTTGCCCGGGCGGTGTGTTTGGGATCGTTGTCATGCTGAAAGACCCAGCCACGTTTCATCTTCAATGCCCTTGCTGATGGAAGGAGGTTTCCACTCAAAATCTCACGATACATGGCCCCATTCATTCTTTCCTTTACACGGATCAGTCGTCCTGGTCCCCTTGCAGAAAAACAGCCCCAAAGCATGATGTTTCCACCCCCATGCTTCACAGTAGGTATGGTGTTCTTTGGATGCAACTCGGCATTCTTTCTCCTCCAAACACGACGAGTTGAGTTTTTACCAAAAAGTTCTATTTTGGTTTCATCTGACCATATGACATTCTCCCAATCCTCTTCTGGATCATCCAAATGCTCTCTAGCAAACTTCAGACGGGCCTGGACATGTACTGGCTTAAGCAGGGGGACACGTCTGGCACTGCAGGATTTGAGTCCCTGGCGGCGTAGTGTGTTACTGATGGTAGCCTTTGTTACTTTGGTCCCAGCTCTCTGCAGGTCATTCACTAGGTCAGCCCGTGTGGTTCTGGGATTTTTGTTCACCGTTCTTGTGATCATTTTGACCCCACGGGGTGAGATCTTGCGTGGAGCCCCAGATCGAGGGAGACTATCAGTGGTCTTGTATGTCTTCCATTTTCCAATAATTGCTCTCACAGTTGATTTCTTCACACCAAGCTGCTTACCTATTGCAGATTCAGTCTTCCCAGCCTGGTGCAGGTCTACAATTTTGTTTCTGGTGTCCTTTGACAGCTCTTTGGTCTTGGCCATAGTAGAGTTTGGAGTGTGACTGTTTGAGGTTGTGGACAGGTGTCTTTTATACTGATAACGAGTTCAAACAGGTGCCATTAATACAGGTAACGAGTGGAGGACAGAGGAGCCTCTTAAAGAAGAAGTTACAGGTCTGTGAGAGCCAGAAATCTTGCTTGTTTGTAGGTGACCAAATACTTATTTTACCGAGGAATTTACCAATTAATTCATAAAAAATCAGACAATGTGATTTCCTGGATTCTTTCCCCCAATTCTGTCTCTCATAGTTGAAGTGTACCTATGATGAAAATTACAGGCATCTCTCATCTTTTTAAGTGGGAGAACTTGCACAATTGGTGGCTGACTAAATGCTTTTTTGCCCCACTGTATATACTATATATGTATATATGTTGTTAAGACTATCTCTAAACAGTGACACAGTTTCAACTCTACTGTCATTTTTTCAGTCTACATCAACTAGTATTGATGTAAATTTCATAGTGTTTTTAATATTTTGTCCGTCCCCTCTAATATAAATACATGATCACTTAGTCCAGGGGTCGCCAATTGGCGGACCGCGGTCCGGATCCGAACCCAGCCGTTTTTTATGAATATAAAAACTACAGAGAGGCAATATTCAGAGATAATCTCAGAAGAGTTTTTAGGGAATAAAGTCACAAATTTAGCCGGCTCCTAAAAGGTGTCGTTACGTTTTCTTTCATGCTCTTTATGAACATGATCTCAGGTGTGTCAGTGAGGACGAAGATGAGTGTGGATGGGCGCAGGCTGCTCTACCTGAGCCTGTGGCGCCACCAGCTGCTGGGAGGGGGGCCTGCTGGTTGACATCATCATCTTCTTGGAGTCGGCTTTGACGTCCTCCTCCTCGTCAGAGTCCTGGAGGCCATATTTAGAGAAATGGGCCGCTGAGACAGAGAGGGGGAGGAGTCAGTTAATTTATTATACTATATTGATCCCGGAAGGGGAAATTTGTCCATTTGACCCATCCCTGTATATAGGGAGCAGCGGGCTGCCAATGACAGGCACCCGGGGAGCCATTAGGGGTTCAGTGTCTTGCTCAGGGACACTTCGACACATGACACGTCCCAGGGAGAGCGCGGGAGAGCGCGAGAGCGAGAGAAGTCAGTTACACTAGAGCGAGAGAGAGAGAGGGAG